TCTTATCTCCAAACCCTCCTCCTTTCCCTTTCTCTCTCACTTTCTTTTTTTCTCACAAGAGAAACAGATGTAATACCATTTTTCCCAGACCTTATAAAAGCTGTGTAAAAAGTGCAGAGGGAAGCTAATGATCAAAGCAGGAGGAGTGCATTACATGATAGCAGAAGAAATAATAAGATCCCAGATACTGGAACGTGGTTTGAATAAAGCTGGAGAGGTTGTATGGGTTTGAAAGGGAAGATGCTACTTGAAGGTGACTGACCTTGTGGGGCTTCTGTAGTTTCCATCAGGTTCACATAAGCACCCAATATCTAGGAAAGAATGCTGGTAACATAACACAAATGTAAGATATAAGCTTTGGATTCTATTTCACATTCTTTCAGCATGTTGTGGTTCATAACATGCTGCACCACTTAATGAGTATTTGGTAGTAGAGAACTAAAACAGTAACTTTTGGGTGCTTATCTGAACTAAACTTTGAACCTTCTGAAGTTCACCCATAATTAGAGACTTCTACTTTCAATTGTGTTGCCAGCAGTATTTCAGTAGTGAGGCTGAAAATGCTTTAGAATGATGCTTTTGGGGTCTGAATTGTAAGGTAGAATTCAAGCTAATTATTTTTACACTCTATTCTAGCAAATGCTCATCAAGAGGTGCAGCATATTATAGATTAAACATGCTGAAGTAACATAAAATCCTAATAAACATTTTAAAATCCTATGTACAAAAAGTGAAACTCCCAAATTATCATAGTTTAATATGCATTGTGAATGTATTTTTGCCAAAGTGCAAACTTTTGTTGGAGGCTTTCATTAAGAACAGCACAGCTATTTGATATTTGCTCATATTTCTGAGTTTTCATTGTGCTGTGTTGTTGCCATTTATGATGATGATAATATAGGATGCTTAGACCTTGCATAATTTGAAATGCCTGTGTGTAATTCTGCATGACACAACACAAGGAGGCTCCATCATTGATAACACTTAGGCAAAAGGAAGATAATTTGATTTGCTGTTTTTTTTCTCTAGATGGGTTCAGCTTTGTTTAATTTACTGCAAATACAAGCATCCGAATTCCAAACTGAAGTCATGGAGCCCTAAGATACACCGTTACAGGTTGTCATCTATCTTGTCTTGATCTTGTGAAAGGCCTCAGCTTCAGTTATTGTTTCCTGGATTTTTAAAACACTTCCCTTGTTTGCTTTACAAATTAGTAGGTGTTAAATCCACACATTTGGAGACTGAGGTCATTGATTAATTTTCAGATTATGCTTCTTTCTCAAGCTCCAGTAAGTTTTCACACAAATTTTAATATTGGCAAAATCTGTCTTAGCTTCCTCCTGTAGCTGCCAATAAGGAACAGGCAACCCTAAAAGGTTGCTTTATGCTGGTGGGTGTGTGTGTGGCACATGCATGTGTGTGTGTGTGTTGCTGATGTGTGAAAAGAAGCAGTGCACTTTCTACTAGTGATTTTGGGTCGTCCCTCACATGTTTTTAATGCTGGCTTATTAAAAGCAGTTGCTTAGAGATGTTACAGATAGGATGGTGGTAGTAAGGAAATCGGTCAAATCAATAACTAGGAAGTGAAGGTGTGGGCCGGTGTGGGGCTGAGCTGGAGAACAGAAAGCTTTATGCACCTTGGTCAGAATTTCTCTGTTAACTTTCCAAAACCAGCTGAAAAGAAAGACATCGCCATAGCAATACCTGCCATTATTCTATTTCCATTTAATGAAATAACAGCACAGATGGATTTTCCACTTACTTTTAGATATCTTGTTTTCAAATTACTATTAGTGTTATTTTTCATTTCACGTACAAGGTGTTGGAGAATGTACTTCAGATTCTACGCCTTCTTTTGAATGAAAAACAACAGGGAAAATAAATAACTTCTTGAATAAGTTTGGCTATATTTGAAAGAAATTACAAAAATACTTCATTGGTTTTAATATAAATTACTTCTACAAATTGAGACGTGTTCTTTTTGCTAATAAATCTTCTGCATTTTGCATAGTTTCCCATAAGGAAATATTCTGTTGATTTTGGGATATTGTATGTCTATCTCAAACAGAACTCCTTTCTGAATTAAGCAGAGTTTTTTGCTGAAATATTAATAGTATGATACAGCCCATAGTAATTTTACATTACTTTGGTTTTGGTTTTAGGGATTTACTGACACAAACTCCTACTGAAATTAAGGACTGAATAAGGACTATCAGACTATGTCAGCAATAATACTTAGTTTTGATATAGTGCTTTTCCTTCTGTCTCCCAAAGCAATTTAGGAAGATAGAAGGTGTTTTTCTCATTTTGTGGTGTGGGCAGGTGAGCTGACATGCTTAGATTCATCCTGCAAACAGATGAATGGCTGAAATAGTTTTGGAGTGCTGTATCCATTAATTCAAACAGCTCAGCTGATTATTTGTTGGGAATTAAAGTGTCTGGGTGATGTTAGTTCAGTGAATCTGGAAAAGTCTAGTGCCACAAAGAAACCTGAGTATACAGAAAGTGTCCTGTCAGAAGGAAATTGTTAAATACTCTAATTTGTGGATATATTGGCATAGCAATGAAATATGTTTTAATGATTACTTCCCCTTAAATGTCAATATATATAATATATTGTGTAGGGATATCAGAAGTGAAAATCTACACACAAACTGGAGCACAAACCATAATTCTGGATTCAAATTCCCCTGAAATATAGATATATTCGAATTCCAGACTGTTTTCCAGATATGGCTTTTTGCCTTTGTCTGTATTGGAGTGATTGAAATCTTTGTTTCTTAATGCAGTTGAATTTTTGGCTCTTCAGAACATTGAATTGAAGTTCAGAAAGTTATTACAGCTAGTAATTTAAACATTTGAATTTGATCAGATGCAACATAAACACAAGGTCACAAGTAGAATTGTCATAGCCTGACACTTTTAATTACAATTTTAAAGCATAAATCATACATGAAGCAAGTAAATTACACTGCTTTTGTTCAACAAAATGAGCAAGTAAATTAAATGTAAATGTAAATAAGGGAAGATTCTGACCTGAGCACCTCATACTGTATCTGAAAGCAACCAGTTTTTGGTTTTCACTTGGAATTCCAGATTGTATTGAAGTTTGGATTCATGGTTGATTTAGTGTTGAATTTTAGGACCTTAACGACTGTGAAATTTGTAATCTAGTTAGATTTTCCAAGAATCTTTGTGATTTATCTTCTGTTCTTCCCCTGTTCTATTTGATATTTTAAATCATGTATTTCTTCATGAGCATGTATCTTAATCTGAAAACTTTGTCAGCTAAGAGGCAAAGCAAGTGTCTTATTTAGAAAGTTAAGTAAATATTTATACTGTTTGCGTTTCTTCAACGAAAAACTGTAATCTGAAAAGTGAGATAGTTCTACATTGGCTTGCAGATGTGCTTTTACAGTGACAGTATTTCTTTTAAAAAGAGGTTCAACAATTTGTTTAAGTTTTCATAAAGCTACCCACCAAATAGGACAAAATAGCTTAGGCATAATGGTAAAAAATGGGTTGGAAACTCAAGAAATCGTCAGTACTCATTGCCCACCAGTTCAGACCATTCTAATATGGCATGTTTTTAATGGACTTTTAAAAAGGTACCTTGCATCTACCAATCCTGAAACTAAATACACTGTATTAACAATCTTGCAAGAATGACACCAGCTGATTTTAAACTTGGAAACAAAATTTGCATTATTCAAGAAAAACTTGTATGGTTGAACTGTTGTGCAGTTTCTAGTGGTTAATATATAAATAAATCCATTTGTATATGCAGTACAATGCAGGAAACATGAATCTTAGGGTAAAACTGAACAGTTGTTTTGTGTTGATGTGTATAGAAAAGTGGCCTAGGTGCCACATACTCATTCATTTCCTCAGATAAACAGTGAATTTCGGGGGCTGGGTCGTGGGGGACACCTAATAACTTTAATTTACGCACACTGTCTTTTCTTTTTTGAACTCTACCAAAGTTCAGCCATCAAATCTAAAAAGGATTATTCGTAGGATATGATTTCAAGCAGGAGTTAATGTAACAAAAGAGTAATGACTATCGTAAGATAATTTTTAAAGATCTGTGTCTTTCAAATTTTAAAAAATACTTAAACCAAGAAAATATCTATAAGCCTGTTGTGAATTGTTGAACAGATCTCAAAGTAACACAATAAAGATTACAGTGTAAGTAATTTATTGTAAAAGCAAAACGCTTCTGATTCCGTTCTACATGCATAGCTGAATCCAGGGGCAAATGAACAATGAATCTCCAGTGTCAACAGAACTGGCTTAATTTAAATGACTGAATGTGCACAGTGAAGTGAGAAGATATGGTAGGAAAAAAGGTGATTTGAAAACCTATGTTGGTTTAACAGTGACAATACAGGGAAATAGGATAGGGTAAATAATATATGAAATACCAACTTAAAATCTAAAAAGCCTAAAGGAAATATTTTGGTGCATGGCTCAATTAGTACTAAATACATGTGCACTGTTCTAGCAAGTGTTACAGAAGAGGAGTGCCAGGGGTCTGAGCTCAGAAACTTGTTTTAACTAAAGGAAACAAAAATAACTGCTGCTGTTTCATATCTCAAAATCCTTTTCCCATGTAATTTTGAGGCAGGTAATGACAGTAATGGAGATACTATAGCACATCTGAAAACTTTTTTTACAGCAACACTGAAATATACTAAGCCAAGTATTAGCAGTAATCAAAAAAGCAACTATAAAACATTATATCTGTGCCAGGTGTGAAAAACACATTCTTATACTCAACAAGTTCATGCTTCCAGATTTTTTTTTGGTAGGATATTCTTAGATAAAATATGGCTTTGAAATTGATCCAAAGTATTTTACAACCATCTATAGATATATCTCTCCAGTTCACTTCTTAATAGTCACTCTGCAAAACAAATTTTTGTATACGTGTGTGTATGAGGACTAGGAGCAATTTTAGGCTTTTATTCTGATCAACTTGCTTCTGCTTTCTTTCCTAGGAAGTGTGTAGAGAGCTCTGGTGCCTCAGTAAAAGTAATCGCTGTGTTACCAACAGCATTCCAGCAGCTGAAGGTACTCTTTGCCAAACAGGGACCATTGAAAAGGGGGTGAGTACAAATAATTCATTGTTTAAAGACTACAGGAAGAAAGAATTAGAAAAATAAAGTACTTCAGAGCAACTGTCAGAGTCCAAAAAAAGAGTTATTTCAGAATACATTTGCCTCCCAGTGGAAGTGTCCTACAGAACTATTTCACGATAATTTTATATATGTAATTTAACAAAACATTTATCGTTGCTGTAACATTCTATAGCTTGGATCAAAAAAAAAATTCAAAACAAAACAAGGCAAACCTGTTACATTCTCTGTATATTTTTGAGTAATTTTTTAAAAAAACTCCTTAGTTTGATTTTCATTGCATTTTATAGCATTCTTCCATAAAGGACTGTTCCAACTATAGGTGTGGCGTAGACTGTGAAAATGTGTACCATAGATCTGGAGCCTAAAATTTCTTATTTTATTAGAAGATAAAAAAATCTGCACTCCTTCAGATGTAAGCTGACTCATACAAGCATATAGAAAGAATGTTGCCTTGATAAAATGGTTTTCTAAAAGCCCATATTTCACAATGACCTTTCTGTTTTGACTTTGAATTATTTTTTTAGTGTTCAGCTGCATGACCGTGTAGCTTTAAAGTTGCTGTGCAGCCCTACAAACTCCTCCACCTGCCAGAAAATTATATAAAGTCAGTGTTGCAATAGATAAGTCTAGTGCTACTGTATCTGTCTGAACATAGAATCATCAAATGATTGAGTGGTTTGGGATGAAGAGGACCTTAAAGATCAACTAGTTCCAAGTCCCCTGCTATGGGCAGGGACACCTCCGACTAGACCAGGTTGCACAAGGCCCCATCTGACCTGGTCTAGAACACCTCCGGTGATGGAACATCAACAACTTCCCTGGGCAACATGTTCCAGTGTCTCACCACTTTCAGGTGAAGTTCAGAAATTTAATTTCAGGTTAAGAATAGTAAAAGGGTGTTTCTCAATTACAAGGCAAAATCTATAGAGATCTTAAAGAGGAAAGAAAAATATTTTAGTTATGAATTTACAGGACGTGTACTGGGGGCAGAATTGAATTCCATATGATGTTGTCCAAGACAATGTATTTTATGCAGACTCATACAAAGAGAAGAGAGCTTATTATATTGAACGGTTTCCAGTATCTATGTGAGAGCTGATGCATCTGTCCGTAAGATTTACTGCTCCAGGTTGCATTTTTTTCCTAACAACGACAAGAGACATCTATCTCATTCTCACTTTTGCCATGCTAGCTGAGCTAGTTGAGCTAGTTTCAACAAAGATAAGGCTGCATTTTGACTTGCAGGCTGATGTTTAAACAAAAAGAATGAAAGCATTTGGGCAGCTGTCACAGTTTGTTAATGCTTGTTGATGATTTCATTCAGAGTCCATGACCCAGTATTGTCCGATGGCTTTTCCATGCTGAGTTTAGAAATACTGGTAAACCACATTAAATAAATTAATTGAAGATGTCATTAAAAAAAAAAAGTGTTTAGAGTTAGCCAGTGAAAACAGGGACACCTTTGCATTCTACCAAAAATGTTAACCTTTTATTAGAGTAATAATAAATGTTAGAAGCCCTGCTCACAAATCAACAGTCTAGGTTTATTTTGGAACCTCCATTTCCTTGTCAATGACAAGGGGCAATTTACCTCTACTACATTTTTTAAACCATGAGACTACAGTGAACAAGTTGAGATGCTTTAAGACACTGTTGCTGTGTTTGCTTGCCAGAGGCTTTAATCAGTTTGCTATCAACAGAGTATTTTTTCCAGTCATCAGCATCTTGTTCCATCATTAGATTTTAGATGAGAGAACCCATACTGTTTTACAAAGGCAAGCTGTTCATGCCTGTTAACAGAAGAGAATTGTATCAGTAAACTACAGCTTCGAAGATTTCTGTAAATTAGCAGTTCCTGATACTAGAAGACACAGGCTCTTTCCAAATATGTAGTTCTCTTTACCACATGCTGAGGAGAAAATAATAGGTTACAATTGTATAACACTGTTATTATTAGTAGTAGTAGTAGTATTATTTACATGTAGATTTACATTTATATTGCAGTCATGCCTGAAGACCACAACCAGATTATGCCGTATTTTGCTAGGCTGTGTCCAGATACGTAATATTCTGTGCTCAGAAGGCCTAACAGGATCTCAGAGTACTTTGTCATATTTGGAGGGTCAATTTCTGCTTTTGGTTACACTAATCTAAGTTTGATGTAACTGTTATGCTGTGTGCATTAATATTTTACTGGTAGAACTGAGAGGGATTTCTACAATTAAAATGGCCTAACACTATATTATAAAACCTTATTTCAGTTGCTTAGATGAATCTGCCAAACTTTTAACTCTTTGGATTTAAATTTTCTCCAGTAAATATCTACCTGCCCCTGAAGGTTTTTAGGGTGTTTTCTAGAAGTTACTCAGGTGTTTTCTGCTTACAGGGACAGATTGCGGTTTCTTGCTACTGTTGGAATTACAACTGTTCTTTTTGAAGCTGTAATATGTTCATGCTTTGGTGAAGGGATTTACATGTATTTTACATATAATTTTAAATACACATGAAGTTTCTCTCCGGTGTACCCAGAGATGTGTTTTCAAAGGTAAACTAACTGAGAGATTTTCAAAAAGACTCTGATGAGGAAATGGTGCATATAAAACAATAAGACAAAACTGGTAGGAATGGTTATTTTGTTTTTTAATTTAAAGTCATAAAAAAGTAAAGTTTTCTGACATCATTGTTTAGATTCACACTAAGGGGCAAGTGTGCAAAGAGTAAAAACAGTGTGCTGAATTAACATTTTAAATAACTAGATTGTGTGATGATTTAAGCTATCCTTGGACATTAAGCTAATGTAAATTTAAGTTATTATTTGACATTAAGTTTTCTTGCAAAATAATTGTAGAAGCAATGATTGAAAATACATTATTGAAATTGAGATGACAAATTTAAATTGAAATAATGTTTTTTCCCCTTTTTTTCCCTCAATATTAAAGTACTTGCTGTCTGAGTTTTCTAAAAGCATCCTATTGTAAATCTAAGTTCTGTTAAACAGCTAATGTTCATATAAAAGTGATATCAAGTGTGCCACAATATCATGCTTTATTTTATTGTTAATGTTCTTGATAAGGATTTCAGACTGCATGTTATGCAGAGGGTTTTGCACATTTTATACGTATTTGTATGAGACACCACTTTCTAGCTGAACTACTCCAAGTTGTTTATTCAGTGTTAGATAAGAGTTAACATTTCAGTTCTAAACCTTTCATGAAGGATTGTTCTTTTAAAATAGCTGTCACCTCCTCTTCTTTCTTCATATACTGGTTACTCAGTAGTCTTTACTTCATTACAGGAGGTAAAGTTGCTATGATTTGTAGAGGAGGCATGTTTCTGTAGTCTCATCAGAAATAATGAAGATTTTGGTAATTTTGAAATACTCTGATGGAAATTCTGTGCATAACTGGCTTCTGATGAAAGATAAATTTTCACTAGAAAATTGAGAAGAGACACTGAGTTCAGTGAGAAGTCAGTCCTGAGATTTAAATTGAGTAGGGAAGAAAAAAACAGCATTTAAGGAGTTTTTGCAGAGGAATATGAGAATGCCGATGACAATGTTTGCGTGACAGAAGAAATTTCAGAGTCCAGGGGATTTACACAGCTTTGAGAAAACAAAGCAGGGAAAATGCACCTGCCTATTGTGTAATGGCTAAGATGTTGAGATGGTTTGCATAGTCTGTTATATGTATGTGGTATTCTTGTGGGTTTAATTCTGTCCATCATTTCTTAACTTTGATTTTGACATCCTTGTAATATATATAATGTATTTTTCTGTAAATTGTTGGCATACATATTCGCTTTTCTTAGATGCATTTTGTATTTTAGCTTTTTACTTCATTAGGTACCCATGTGGTTGTGTGGCATGTTTAATAGAACATTGCAAGGAGATTATTGTCTGTAGTTAATAAAATCATTATCACTTAATTTATCACCAAAATGAGAAGAAAACCAGGAGTTTAAGTCCCTTGTGTGTAGTTCATGCAAATACTTCATTCTCCATCGTAGTTGTACCATTAGAGACATTGCAAAGCACTGTGCCATAGGGGTATATCTATACTAGTGAGTAAATGTGAGTTCACTGTGTGGACTGCATTATGAGTTTTACAGAGATTCAGTGATAGTCTGGATTTAAGAGAAGCTCCATGTGAAGGGCGTGTTCCTCTGATGGATGACTGCTAGTTGGCATAAACCTCCAGTTTGTAAAATCAGAACTCCCAGAAGGATAAATCCTCCTTCCCTCAGTACAATTCCATGAAACCCTCTGTCTGGTATTTTCTGAAGAAAGGTGTGGTGGATTGCCCCATCCAGCAGCTGGGCCCCTATGCAGTCACTTTACTCACTACTCCACCATGGATGTAGGAGAGAATCAGAAGGGCAGAAATGGGAAAAACTCATGGGCTGAGACAGACAGGTTAATAAGTGAATGGGAAAGAAATAAAAAACAAACGAGGTCAAACAAAATCACTCATTACCTGCAGATTGTTGCCCAGCCAGTCTCTGAGCAGTGGCTACTTTGGAAGCACCCCCACCGCTAGCTTTGTTGCTAATGATGTTAATATGGTATGGGATATCCCTTGTGTCAGTCTGGGTCAGCTGTCCCGTCCGTGTTCCCTCCCAGCCTCTTGCCCACCCCAGCCTACTCGCTTGGGTGGCACACTGAGAAGCCAAAGCCTTGATGGTGTGCAGGCATCGTTCAGCAGTAGCTAAAACATGAGCCTGTTATCCACACTGGTCACAAGCCTAAAACGCAGCACCGTGCAGGCTGCTAGGAGGAAGTCCCTGTCCTGCCCAGACCAGGCAAAGAGAAAAGTACAACAGGCAGTGCATTTTGAACTTGAGTTTTAAAGTAGCCTGCGTTGGCTTCTCTGTAGTCACATTAATGCTTGTTTTTGGTTTCTCTCACTGATAGAGGATGAGATGTATAAACAGAAATGTGCTGGATAATAGCAGCTGTGTTGAGAAGAAAG